ACGATTTGTTGTTGAACGTTTATGAATTGTGATGACTGTATAAACGCTAAAAGTAATTAGTAATTTAGTATGTCGTATTGCCTTAAAGATTTTCAGTTACGAACTATAAGTTTTATCGGTTTCATTAACAATTGAAACACATTTTTAAGACTTTTTATACAAAAATAGGCTTAAATACGCTTAAGTACTCGTATTTTAGGGAATATTCTTAAAATGTTATAGATGCTTATTGTACACAGTACTAAGTAACCTAAACTAAACTACATCAAAGTTTATTAGAACAAGATATTAGTCTAGTTCGTGAAAATGGAAAATACATGCACGGTTAGTTGGTAGGTTTTCCTAGGTTATACCTTACTACCATACTATTATAAATAAATATTATATATTGTTGGGTACAGATATTAAAAATGTATCATTGTTTTCTTTAGTGAAGATGGGCACACTTCATAAGTTTTCACAAAACGCATGCACTTATAATACGCAGCTAGTGCAGTTCAATGTCGCTTAAAAATAAAATAAAAGTACTTGGGTTAAGCTAGAGGACAGGATTTACTGGTAAGATAATTATTATACAGGCATTTCATTAATCTGGCCTATATTAGGAAACCTGTCGAGCCCGAGATTAACTCTGTGTTTAGGTTTAACATTGATTCATAGTTTTCATTTTTCTTATGTTTTTTTTCTTCATAAATTACTATGACTGGTGCGCATGTTTCAGATATGCTCATGATCATGTTCATTTCAAAGTTTATTTTCAGAATGTGGGAATTCATAAGTATATTGTTTTTGAATGAGTAAAAATGTATTCTATAATGTCATACTTTAAGTGTTTCTGTTCAATTCAATAATGATCTAAATTTCTCTATTGGTATTTAAAATTTAAATGTCTTACAGTGGTCACGAATATATAGATATTTCAATATATCGAACCAATTTACCAAAAACAAATTGAAGTGGATATTTTTTTATACGTCATATAATATACATGATACACGTAAAGCGAGTCAGTTAAATAGATATAACTAATTTTTAGCATTTAAATATTAAATGTTTTTATATTATTGTCTTATTTATAGGTAATATTATTATCATTTAGGTATATATATTATTTTCAATATTTGTGTTAATTACTTTATTTACTGTACTTTTTAATATATCTTATGATCCGTTGAATTTTTAAATAAATTAATATACGTGTAATTTAGAATATTTGGAGTTAACATAATTTTTTTCGAGTACATTAAAAATAATGACAGTATGTGGTGCACAAATGTTTGCTAAGAATAAAAACAACTGGTGCCAATTTAATGTTTAACTGAAATTAATGAACTATTTGTTATTTAAATATATTTTAAGCTATATATATATTTTATTTTCGAACAAAATATTTAGATTATGGGTACATACTAATTGTACCTACGTTATGAAAAGTTCGATTACAACAAGTGAAATATATTTTATATATCGTTCAATTGATTTAACCTTTTTTAGTGTTTTATTTAGGTGTATAATATAATGTCATGTATTGGTTGGATGTAATTATCTGTCAACTGCGTATGGAGTGTGCAAATCAATGTTTATTCATGAGACAGCAAAAAGCGTGTTTCTTTGTAAAAATTCTAATCTTTGTTAATACAGTATAGTTGCTGCTTATAAAATTGAGTTTTACGATTTAATATTATAGGCAAAAACCAACAAACAAAACAAACACATTAATTAATTATTAACTTTAATTTGCTACTTTTGCTATTAAACATTAGATATTATTATAGAAAATATGTAATAAATACATACATACATAAATATTATTAATTAAATACATAAACATGTTAACTTAGATATATTTTTAACTTTTATTTTTATTTATTAAAAATAAAATCAGATAATAGTTAATATTTAAATTTTGATTATTTTTGCATATTATTTATTATTTATTCAAAAAAATTATGATTTTAGTTTGTTTTTCATTATTTTCAACTATTACGGAAATATATTGCTCGCACTCGTACTGTACCTATACTCAAATTAGTACCTCAGTGATGAACGGCTCTTTTCAACACGTCTAGATCATTACTGCAGTATATTCTATTATATATAGTTTATGTACACGCCATGTACAATGAAAACAATTCACACATGAGTAAAAAAAAAAGTATACATTTTTAAAGTCTAAGTGAGTGATTAATATAATGAGAAAATTGATCACTCAATAAATTGTGGAGGAAATAGTTGGCTCGACGAGTAGACTAAACTGTATCCAGATCGCAGTAGCCGTGTCGTGCTGAAAACGGCAAAGCTAGGTAGGTAATAATAATTTGAAAGGAAATACAGGAGCATAACTTTCTCTAGTTGATCAGAGTTTACACTTCACAACACGAATAACATTAATTATGAATTCTATGAAAATAAATGTAGGGGATGATTTATAATTTATTAGTAAAACCATAATGCCATAAAACAAATTGATACCAAACGGTAAATACGATTAAACGGAGCCATAGTAATAAATCTATTTTAATTGTGAAAATCAAAGTGATTCATCCCCCTTGGACCATCCCTTTGCCAATAATATTGGTGATACTAAATTACTAACTAATGAAGTGTAAAATAATATATTATTTATAATATTTTATAAGCTTTGGAACTTTGGTTCTTTCGAGTAGGGTCATTGGACACCCCCCCCTTCTATCATGCCGTCCCGTATTGTATACTTGTAATCCCCATATTACCTATTGTATAAACAATTACAGATTGTATATATTCTTGTTTTCTAATAAAAAAAAATATTTTATAAACTATAACGTTTAAAAAACATAATGTTTAAATATTAATTTAATATTTAAAATAGGTACCTACTTCCTTAAGTTCTTTATATTTAAGACAAAATAATATGATGTACATGTAGATGCATCATCCTTAAGATCCTTTAATTAAAATTAAAAACGTAGAACTTCATTCGCAATTACTGTTAATCTATATTTTACACATACGTGGTTTGTATAATAAAATGTATGGTTATCATATTTGCATTAAACTGTTGTGTCAATTGAGATAGTAATAAATAAATTCTGTATATAAAAAATATGTTCCGGAAATAATGACCTAATAAAAAGAACAAATATCTATCGAATAATATTGCATATTATATTATATTAATTGTATTTTATTGTTGTAAATAGATTGTCTTTTTTTTTTGTGGCATTAACGACGCTGCCGGAACTGCTTAAGCATTACATTGACAGTAAATAGATTGTCTAGGTTAGTATAAATTGTAATTCTGAAATTGCCAATTTGCACATTTATTTCATACAATATGATAAACGCATGAAGTACCTAGGTATACAATTTTATCAAAAGACACAATACGACGCTTGCGTTTGAAGTTTTCATCTACTATAAACACACTAAATACCTACGTTATTCGATAAACACATGTATTGAGAGAATAAACAGCACAAACAAATCTCCTTAATAACCTAAAACATAATATTGTGTTATAAGTATATAGACAATTTAAGATATAATAGTGATAATAATCATCTTGAATGCATATTTTGAGACGTAGATTGAAAATTGTGTAATGAAAATAAATAATATAAATTTTAGTCACTTAATCTTGCTAATTGTTGTGTCTACATCGACGTATATAATATGTTTTTTAAATTAATTACTCCATTCATTATATTTAAATTATGTTTTGAAATAATTGGCCTCTGAAGGTTTGGGTGGTATTGAGACAAATACTAATTGAGAACTAATAATATGATACATCGGACTTTGATGTCAAGTAACCACTGCAATAATCGAGTTATTGTAAAAAAAAATAATAATAAATATTAAGAGCGTAGGTATACATTTATACGAGCAATAAAAATAAATTGATTTAAACCGGTTGTAGGGCGATAATCAGTACCAATTTTCAGTAATAAAGCAATAAACAAGTATAGTATAATATGGGGTTTTTGAAATCAAATTCGCTCTTGTAGAGGATTCGCGTTTAATAAGATACCGTTTTGCACTTGCAAATCATATGTTATAATACTTCTGCGGTAGTGGTACCTAATTATTTGAACTCGCCAAATAAGTCATACCGCAGCAGCTGGTTACGTCGATTAGATTTAATAGATCGTAAAATTCGACGGGCATAATGAAACATTATAATAGCACATATAGGTACACGTCGTTCTTAATTTCGGCTTGTACGAGATACCTATATACTATATTATATCCAAGACCAAAATAATATTCGTACACCACTATAATAATAATAATAATACTAGGCACCTTGTACATTTTCGTAATAAATTTTCGATGGACGTAGGTATCATCCGTATACAGTGTATCTATAATAATATATGTAAATATAATAATATATGCGAGCTGTTTATAATATTATTATTTTGTCGGATATTTATTCGCCGTAATAAACGATCTATGTAAATTACACGCACCTGTACATAACATTATAACAATAATTGTAGGTACCTATCGTATTTTTTTCTTCATTCCGTCAAAACGCGTAAAATCCGTTCCTTGCAAATCCGCGGGTGCTTCGTCGGTACGATATAATAATAATAATAATAATAATGATGACGACGATGATAATAATATTATAATATATTGATTTCCGATTTTTCGATATCCCATCGCGGTGCCGGTGCGTATACGGGCACAGCGCGACAGAGATACTTCGCGTCGATATAATATACGCATTATATTATATTATTATATTTTATATATTATATATATATATATATATATAGGTAGGTATTTCGTCGGTGCAGCGCAAAAACAAGTCGCCGACGGTCGACGAACTCGAACGGGTACGTTATCGTCAACGGGCACACACACATACACACACACTACGTCCTGTACTCACGCACCGCGATAAGTGTAATGATAAACATAATAATAATAATAGTATATACCTCAATATTATATTTTTATTATTGTTATTGGTATATTATAATCGTCAACGACCTCCTCGTCACATTAACATGACAATATGCCGTGCAGAATCCACCAAGTTCGCGATGGTCCTCATAGCGGAGAGGGTCGTGAAGAACATCGATGATGATAAATTTCGACCGAGCGCGGTGGCAAAATCGTCCGATAAACTCGCGAATTTCGATGTGCGTTTGAATCTCCGGGCTGCACGACTTATGAACGCGTACCCATCTATCGTAGAGGTTGAAATAAATAATAATAAAGAGGTTTTGTAATACATTGTTATCCTATGATAATAAACACCGCACAGAGTGGGTTACCTCATCGCCATCTGACGCGTCTGACACTCCACATCGAAAATGTGTAGTGGGGCTTCAGCCCCTCCCCCCCAATATATTTGATCACCCTACTCCTATGTGTACACTATAAAGTATTCCATAGGTGAGTAGGCTTCTGCTATAGTTTCAGGTTTAACACCTCAAATTATTATTATTCCTATAGTATTCTTATGGTTTTAAATGTTATATATAATATGAGGATTAAAGGATTGTTGCATTATTTAGATTAAAAACGATAATTTGACTTTAATTTGTTCTTAGCCCCCCCTCCCCCCTCCCTGACTACGATTTAAGTCCCCCCAAAAATATTTTTAATTGATTTAGTTATAAGCCCTCTATGGGTTATTTTAAATAAATAGTTTTGTTAGGTTGGCTTTACCCCCCCCCCCCCACAGGTTCGCTTATGGCTTTGGTCGAGGAAAATTTAAAGCCAGTTTCATTGGACCAGTTTTGAAGGGTATGTAATGATGATTGTAAGATGTTTAATGTAGTTTCAGTGTAATTGTCCTTACAAATTAAATATAGCAGTCGTCAACATAATAATATGTTTTGTAGGATTTGGTTTTTTACAGAAGATATAGTTCATTGCTATTGAAACATTATAACACTTATTACTGATACTTGTGGGATACCATTTCCAGTCAGGTACAGGGTAGAAACCCCATTCAGTGGGTTGACCTGTATTTTGAGATTGCTTAAAAATCGAAACATTTAAAAGGTAAAACATTTGCTGACATTTCTTTGACATTTTTTATGGTTGTAGATTTTCTTTGCGCTCAAAGAAATATTTGATTAAATCAAAAAATTACTATGTATTTCAAACTTTAAAGTAACTGGAAATTCGATTTACAGTCTTTAAACGTTTAGAGAAAATTTTTATCTTTACTAAAAAGTATATGTTCAAAAAAAATAATAAGATCACTAAAAAACGTAGATAAAAAATATATATACAGAACACCCTTCTCTTAAATCTAAAATTCAAAATTTGGTTTTCTAGGAATAAATAAATTGTCTTAAGTTGGAAAGAAAAAATATTTATGTAAGTACTTTATAAAAAACAGTTACCATAATAATTATTCAGTCTTTATAGTTTTTATACATAATTTTATGTTTATAATCGCACTGGTCATATTCCATCATATTTCAGCCATATCGAAGTTACTAAGCACAATACCAGCAGAGCCGCCCGACTTAAGAATTTTGCGCCTTGGAGGCTAATTTTTTGATGGGGACCATTAACTTGAAATATAAATTCATAGCTTCTTTCTATTTCGTTTTTTTTTATTAAATTTATATTTTAAGATTATAAATAAATTATACCATAGGTCTGTAAGTAATTGTATAATTTGATGTTTATTGATATAAATAAATCGTATATTTTGACTGTATTACGGTAATATATGGAGGGCCAATTATAACGGGGCCCGGTGCTGCTACCCTTTAGAACCCCTAAGTAGGGCTATAATCATAAGTACTATTTAAAAAGTCAAAATTCAAAAATGTTACTACCTATAATATAATAGTATATATTTATATCATATTCATACTTAAGGTTATACGTTGCGTAACTTTATTCGAAACGAAGAATTAACTTACGATTTTTTTATTATTGTATAGTGTACCTATACTATTTATTAGCATTGGTTTTGAGTTGAATATCGAACAACAATTTAAAAGTCAAAAGGGAATTTTTTGTGATAGTTTGAAAGAAAATTTCCTCCCTTCAATCATCCATATTATATACGTCTTCATTTTATGAATCATGATTTTATAATCATGAATGAATCTAGTTGATAAAAGTTGCACCTTTAAATACTGTAACCATATTTTACAGAGTCTTGAGCACATTTTTAACGTTTTCAAAATATTTAAGTTTGTAATTTGTTGTATATCGTGTATTTGTGTTATAACCATACAATTAAAATTTGGCTAAATAATAATACATAATACCGCCGAAAGTATATGGAAGAAATATTAATACATTTATGAGGAAATGTTCGCTAAATCTTTAATTTTTAACCAAGTCATCTTTTTTGTAGCTAATATTTTTTGCCAGACTGTACATTTATCTTGTGTCTGCTGAAAAAATATTTAACATTATTTATTACCGTTTTAATTACGTACAAGCCCAAGATACAAAAGTAAAATAAATAACATCAAATGTTTGGTATGAAATTGTAATTAATTTCACCTATGACATTGCATCGTGTGACGATCAAAATAAATGTTATTATATATACCTACCGTATAGTTTAGATGTATTATAAATATTTAAGGAATATGATATCACACAATATTGTGGAACACATGTTTTCTAATAATTTCAGTATTTGATATTTTTCCATGGATATATTTTAACCCTCGTCATTATATCGTACAAATAACGAAATTCAAACGTAGGTAGTCTTTTTGAAGTATGGTTTAAAAATAGCATTTATACCTCATCGTGACATTTTTTTTTATTTTTTCCGCTTATTAGTCAACGCCTAACGCCTAACTGTTTTGTATAAAATATGTAATACTTTGGTTATATTTTAATGTTCATGGTTTGGTAATTTAAACAAAAAATTATATTAATTACGATATTTAGAGAACTTTATTTGTTGTATCTTAATATGTTAAATTCCCCATATTGTTATATCAACGTGTAGAGAAAGTAAATCAATACCTAACAAGTATTAATTCATTAATTTACTACACCACTCGAAGATTCATATAATATATTATAATACCTATAATCTATATATTATATACATTATACTTACTTACTATTTATAGCCGTATAGGTACGCGTATATAAAAGTATATTATACACATATACACATTTCATTGTCTCCGATTGATTGAAAAATTTCGTAATAAACACATAAGACAATGTTTATCAAAAAGAAACGAGAAAAAACGTCGATATTAATTTATACTTTCATACTTACATACAATTTAAGCAAACGTAATGCTCATTTATTGACTATAATTATAATTGCTTCCGGAAATAAATTATTTGATTTATTTTTGAAATACTTTTTATACATACATTATTCTCTATAATAATAGAACTATAGAAAGATGATACCACTATTTAAAAGGAGACATATTGTCAAAACATTTTTCAGGTTATTTTTTTTTTTTGAAAATATTTCGTACCAAGACAGCAAGTTTTATGTACATTATTACAAAATATTTTAATGTTGATATTATGATGTTTTAATATAATATTCAATGATATCATCTTGAGTTTAATAATTTAACTATTAACAATATTTGATTATTACAGCTAATGTTATGCTTTCTACTTTAATAAATTGTACTTCTAATATAATATTTTGGATTTATTAATGTGTATTATTATCTTTATTATATTTTAAGTATTAAACATTTACACATACTCGTATTTTAACGAATACGTAATATTATGTACATAATACATATATAATATCTAATGATAAACATAATATAAATTAAGTCTGGTCAGTACCTATATGTGGGCATGTGGCTATGTTATAGTAAATGTTTTATCGTGAATTTAAAATATTTTTATAAAAGGAAATGGTTTTGAGTTTGTACTCAAGTTTTGGCAATTTACTAACAAATTATTAGTTATTATCGTCTACCACTATTGTCTATTTCCATCCATTATTAACAGGTACATTTTTTTTCGTTCAGGGCATTATTACTGGGAGTAACCCCAAAGGTCAAAGGCCTAGTTCGGCCGCCTGTTTGGCAGAATTTTTATTTGGCCATCCATAGGTTTATGCCGGACCGTCAGAATTTGTTTCGAAACGTCTGACATGCTGTCGTGCTGATCACAATAACTGATTCTTTTTTCACCTCAACGCTTTTGGTATGTAGGATAATTTGTAATGATGTAGATTTCTATTTTATGTCCCGTGAATGTTTTAGAACGACAGCTTTATTTAAATTTTCAAACTAAACCCCATTATTATATGTGTCACATTATTATGTTTCAGTATCTACTTAATCTAAACTAAAATATTACTGTAGGTATTATTTTCTATTTGGTCGTTCTAGATTATTATGATGTGTTTCTGTATTGTAAAGGGCTGGTCCCGTAAAAAATGTTAATAAATAAATAAATAAAAACATATTAGTTCAATATAATGTAATATAATAATATTGTTCGATCAGGATTTCGCATAAGTTTGGATTTTTCTAGTATATTGACTGGGATCTATCTAGTATCATTGAATTTATGAGCTTTTTGAACTTTTGGAGTGAAACCTAAAGCAACGTGAATGTGTGTGCAAATATTGAATTTTATATATATATTTATTTATTTCAACGGAGAATTTGGAAGGAACAATACAATTTAATTCGTTTTTATAATTTTACCAATCAACTAGTTTTGGAAAAATATTTTATTATTAAAGATGCTTTTTTAATTGTTCCCAGTAGATATAAATTATATCTACTAATATGTCACTATCTGGAGGATAAATATAATTTGTAATTCTATGAGAGACACATTTTAGGACTTTCCGTAGCTAACATAATTATTATATATCTTGTACACAACGTCGTAAATAATTACTTTTAAATGTATCGTTAATAAACTTTAGAGTTTACATGTCGCAGAGTTAAAATGGCCGAGAACTATAATGTTCATCATTTTGCGCACAGGGTATAATAAATACATAAACTATTACTATCGTTAAAAAAATGTTTTTGAGAATTTTAAAATTATTTAGAGACAAAATCAGTATGGCTCTTTTTCTAGTTAAAACTGCATGCTTTAAAATAATGCATATAATTATAATATTAAGGACACAATAGCATTAATTTGTAATAAAAGTTGGAGTTGGTTATATACTAATTTTGCCACAATTATGAGCGTTGACATTATATCCGTGAAAATTGTATTTTTATACTATTTATATTATAATTTATTATACTTAATGATATTACATTAAGAAACTACA